GCTGACAGGAGTTGTTGTAATAAGAAACATGCTGTTTAGGAGTATGAGGGTAGCAGTCATGACGCTTACTTTGTTAGCAGTGCGACGATTTCTTGGACCTGCAGATCTTACTTCTAGTTTTTTCTTCATTTTTCTCACATTTGTAATAATACAGAAATTTCCTATCAAAATTATTAGAAATGGAATCGCACTAAATTTTGCCAAATCAATCCAAGGCCACATTTCTTTATCAAACCTTTCATAGGTATCGCTTACATACCAACATTGAAGACCAGTTCCATTGTTCTTTTCGTTCACGTTATTTTTTATTGTATAACCGTAAAGCAGGTGCGAGTTTATCAGCATTAATGTTCCGACAACAAATCCAAGGATCACTTTCGCCAAATTTTTGTTACAGTGTAACTTGCTAGCTTGTGGAAACAACACCAAAGCAATTCGTTCTAAGGTGACTGTAACCAGAATCCAGGCAGAAATATCAACCGAAACATACACAATCCACATGTGAAATTTACAGCTAAAATCGCTGATCAATCTAACATCAGTGTTAAAGTTAATGTTAATCCAGTGTCGCAGCAGGCCAGTGTAGAGGACAACAAGGTCGTTCAAAGACAATGCTACGAGGTATATTGCTGTTGTATTTTGGCGAAAGGTTTTACGAAGAAGTACTACAACACAGAAGAGGTTTCCTATTGTGCCTACGACAATCATTGCAGGTGGACAAAATTTCCAGAGGTTTATGGCGACACGGTATTCAAGATAAGATTTTATAGTGGTGCCATTTCCGGTCTGCATTTTGACTGCAAGTAAAAACAAGCATTCTGAGAGTATTGCAGAAACAATACATGTACCCTACCGGGTTCCTGTTTTCTCTATAGGATGTCATTTTATAATATTCTGTATATGAAAAGAGCCCCCAAAATGTGGACATTTCGGTAATTATTAGTAATTACAAAGTGAGACGTCTGTGAGTGTCATTAGACATACATGCATGTATTGGTCAAAACAACTCATATTTTACATTAATTGTTTTACATGCTTAAAAACACCCAACTCATTATTTTTCTCGTTGCCATTTGATTTTAATTAAGGTGATTACTTCAGTATCTCAGTATGTTACTTTTTTCACATAAGTATCTGTTCATTTTGCATCAGCGTCTAAGTGTCCCTTCACGTCGAACGCAGCGTATTACTAGTGTTAAAGCATTTGCTCCGGGGTCCCGGAAAGAGAGATTTAATTGATCCTTACATCGCGGATTCGAATCCTACAACAGGAGGTTGAGACCAGTTTTTCGAGCGAGACACTTTTGACCGAGGTGCCGTCTTGCGGTAAGTGCTGGCACGAAAAAGTTTCCTCACTTCTCCAAGACCCTCAATACAAAGTACAAGTCTAAATTTGCAGTTACTCATGCACTGGCAAGTGGTGGCTTTTTTTAATATGAGTGAAAAAAAATTCTAAAAGGGACGAAAGACAGATAGAAGTACAAACAAAATAATATATCCTTTCCGAAACCTAATGAAATAATGCTGTATAAAAATGTATGAATGATATAACAATTGCACTATATTCATCGGAATGAATATTGAGAAGTTTTAATTTCGGAGCATAGAAAGTGTATTGGATTTCACACAAATATGTGAATTTTAATTGAATACTTGGAAATAACGAACAGTAATCAAGCTCAAAAGTCCATAATACAATACAAATCAGGAGCAGAACAAACGAGGACCTGAAAAACTTCCGGGGTGGGATCAGTTGCCATGGATGATTGAGCATCCTCTTCCAACCGGTCACATCTGCGATGTTGCTTTCCGAAAAAATATTTATATTGACGACCAGAGAAATCGAGCTTTTGTACAGTTGAGGTAAGAATTTAGATCAATTAGTGCAAGATAGAGTGCAACTTTTTGCGCGCAATAAATATACAGGTTTTTTTTCTACGAATGGCACTGTAGCTCTCTGGTCATCCATCCCAATTTTTTCTGGTATGAATAAAAATGGGATGGATGACCAGAGAGCTACAGATATGCAACTAACCCGCTCCTTGTCATGTTCAGCAAATTAAAAAAAATCCGTTGATGATTCAGTGTGTAAATAATGACTTAAAACAATTAGCGTGAAAACGTCAGTCAGCTTTTGACTTAATGATAGATTGTATTTGCTGGCAAGGTCAAAGTATCGACCATAGAACTTTCAAATGAGACTGTATAGATTGATTAACCAACTTAATATCGATTGTTAGTATTTGGAAAAAATAAATGCCCGTCATGGATGCGGCTTGGTGTAAAATGCGGAGGATGGAGTCTCCACAAAACTCCAAAATGGAGGGTCAGAGAGTGCAAGGGGTGGAGCCTCTTGTGTTAGATGATGCAGGAGGTGGAGCATAGTGTTGTCGTAAATTTATTAGATCTGTCATCTCATTTTCTGATACTCCGTGAGAACGTGTTAGAGTGTTACATTACCCAAACAAAAAAAAAATAATTTCATTGAAGTTGAGTGAATGGAACTCAGTTATATCTCGATCCAACCTGATTTTGTGATGACCATTTGACAGTATCTGATGACATTTGTTTATAAAGTCCATAAAATACTATATGAGAAACAAAGAAACAGGCAAGTAATAAAAAAAAATAATGAACACCACATTTCAACGAGGGGAACAGCTTTACTGATTATTTAATTTTTAACGATAACAGAGACTGACTGAAACAGAATAGCATCAAAATTATTATCTTTTGGTGATATTATATACAGATATATATAAATAGACTGATATGTATATAAAGGTGTCAAGGAATATCGGCCTCATTACAAAACACCTATTACCATCTGAAATCTGATTGCTGTCGAAGCAATGTCCGATGTTGGAAATGTGCCGTGATGTCATTATTCACTCAGAAATATTATCCCATTTTAGAAAAATTAAAAATAATTAAATAATAGATTCAGTAAATGAACTGATTGTTTTATTGGAGAACTCTGGCCATTAACTGTTTTTATTTTATTTTATTTTTTTGCTCTAAAAAGAATGAGAAACAAGCAGCATGATAAAGAGACAACAAAATGAGAATCGAAATGACCTACAGATATGAGAAACAAATGAGGGGCATGCAGCCCGTGCTTGTGATTTAAATTTTGTTTTGCGATATCACAGATGCTAAGTGCAATGGAAACTGTCTGATTCACACTGCTATCTCGCAGTAACCCATGAGGTCTTGACAGATTTTAATAGTATAGGTATCAAATATCTGAAGGGCCAGATGTTAAAATTGCTAAGGGCTAGATTACCTAAACTTCTAGGGAAAGATGACAAAAAATTGTCCCCTTATTTGTTGTTGATATAATTGAAAGTCATGTTATCTTTTTTGTGCTAAATTTCATTTTCAGTTGTAATTTAATTGTATCTTCTTTTTGTGGTTTACACATACAGAAGCTTTAGCAGCTTTTACAGCAATGTGAAATATACTTTTTAATTGTTGATAATTTGCAGACAAAGTGATCTGCGATATGTTATGCATGACATAATTATCTGCAATAAAATTTTTGGGACATACCAGTATCTAGACTCAGTAATTAATTCTGACAGACACTTTTTATCACCGATGGAGAGCTCTACAAGCAACCCAGTTGTATCCAGCTTCTAAAATGATTGAAAGATAAAACGGGCAATTGTATAAAAACTGACACAAGAGGCTCCACCCCTTGCACTCTCTGACCCTCCATTTTGGAGTTTTGTGGAGACTCCATCCTCCGCATTTTACACCAAGCCCATGGATGCAAACTTTACACCTATAATGTTATGATTATTATTATATTTTTATCGTATTAAACAAAATAACGTACAAATACTAGTAGCTATAGAACATTTTTTCCTTTAGTCTGGAAATTATTTAAAGGATCCGAATTTAGCCGAAAAAATGTTGTTTTTTTTTTAATCAGCTTCCATACCTGCTTATTATTTGTACTCAGCAGTGTCCTCACATAAAAAAGACCCTTGCTCCCCTTTGCAGTCCAAATAGGTACATAATTGCGAACTAAAAGATGATATTTATTGTCAACCCGAAGGTGCAATGACGTCAAAATAATGACAGATACAAGTATAAGGTATTCCCTTGCCGACATTAAATAAAAGCTGCTCCACAGATTTAATTAAATGAAATAGAAATAAATTCATTCCTTAATGGAAAATATTATGTGGGGTTTCTATACAACTGAAAAAAAAAATCGTTCTCATCTTTTGAGTAACAACCATTCCACATTATTTCCAATCCCCTTCAAGAATAAAATTACCATTAAACATAGTTTTTGAAAAACATTGATAGTTTTAACACAGATATTCGACATTTTCTCATACATTTAACAAGAGTTATAGTCAAAATTACGTATAACTTTACAGCGAAAAAGTTCAGATTCATTTTTCAGAAAGTTAGATGTACAATGTATATGGACAGATGATTCAATATTCCAAAACAGTCAAGAAAAACCATTTTTGCATTTTCTACAATCTCGACTTTTTGCAATTTTTAGTGTAATCTGGAATAAAAATTTTAAATACAACGATCAATAAAGGGACAGAATTTCAGGAAACTAGACATGTAATCAAGATAGGCCTGTTTTCCTATGATTTCAGATACGCGCTTTTTGTTGGTGTTATTTTTTGAAACGCTTTGACATTTTATTCAATTATATATTGAAAAAGGGCTGCAATGCATTTCAGAGATTATCATTACAAAAATTACTTTCTACTTGAATTAAATATAGTATTTTTATTTCATACAAAATAGGAATAGGTCATATCACATATATATTCAAAATGACCAGGTGTATCAACTGTTATAATTCCATTCCATTCCACGTACTATTTCAAATAAAAAATTATTTGAATAATTTATGTCACTTATACAAATTAACTTTGATATCATTAAATGAATAGGTGTTACATTGTACATATATTATCTTGTTTAATAGGTGAATTAACCTTATAAATAATAAGTGATGTTGCTTGCTGGAAGCTAAAACCAAGACTTCGTTTCATGAAAGTTCCACTCTGTATAGTAGTACACAGAACACTAGACTTAATTTACACTTCTTACGTCATGTTTCAAAACCTATCACCTAGCGGGTGATTTCATACATCAACAAAGTTTTAAAAAGTAAAACTAGTACACTTCATATGCATGTATTTTCAACTTTGGAATAAATACCGAGTATATCTTAAATCTCATCCGTTCTTTAGTTACATTATGGTTTTTATTGTTTTCATTCATCAGTTGAATTAATATTCCGTATAACTGCATGTAGGTCTCCACTTTTTTGTTTTTTAGTTTTTTTATGGCTTTGCCTATTTCATCACAAAGCCTTCTCGTCTTCTAAATGATTGCGTCTTCTTCACAAATAGATTTTATTCAATTTAATTCAACATTGTCCAGTCTCAACCCTCTTCTCACTTCTCACTGAGTTTGTCGGTGTATCCTATGTGCTAAAAGAAAATGATCTTATAATAAATGATAGATACCTGCGTTACTTTACGCCAGTGATCAGATTAGTGAAATAATAGATAACATTATCTATCCTTTTATCTAAGCAATTGCATTCTTTGTTTTGTAATAAACAAAACATTTTACGAAATCTTTACATGTTTTTCTTTGTACAAGAAACCAAAAATGCAGAGGAAAGGCCAAGCATCATAGTATGTCAAAATGATAGCCCTTGAAACAAGAGTCCAGCGGGCCACAGTGCCTGGGCAAGAATCAATAGCAGGAATCATTATTAGTTTTGAAAAGTTTGAAGATTTACGTGGCCCCACTCTATTCCCAGGAGGTGATGATTTAAACAAGCTTGAACCTACACTATCTGTGTGGATGCGTCCATATATAAATATGATTTATCATGGGTTGCTGTTCTTGAAAAGAATATTGTACAGATTTCCCTACATATTTCTATGTTACACTTCGAACAAAATTGAAATTGCACTACCTCAGAATACTTCCATATCAATTGACCAATCACTGCTTTGCTGTTCTTGAGAATAACATTTCTAAAAAAGTTTCCTATGTAGGCATTGATACCCACCTTACACCCCATAGTCATTATGTGGACAAACTCGAATTTACCCTCCTTGAGGTCTGACCTTAGTCGATAAAAAAATGTAGCAACTGTTCCTTCGCCATGCGCTCGGCACTTTGAAGTGAAAGTTGCGGGTCCTTCGGATGAGACCTTAAAAACTGATATCCCGTGTCACGGCAGGCGTTGTCACAATAAAGATCCTTCACCGCTCAATGGCTCAGAGTGCCGAGTAAAGGTCAAAATTTGAAGCCCTTCAACGGTGTATGGTGAGCGAAAAATTCTCGAATGGGATTTTAAATAACATACAATCGATAAATCAATCAATCACCCCCTTAGTCAATATTTGAACAAACTCGAATCTAAACTACCAGAGGATACTTCCATATATATACGATAAATCATGATTTTGCCGTTTTTGAAAAGAAAATTTTAAAAGATGTTTACAATGAATTTCTATGCGGACCTTTTATCATCCATTGTGACCCAGGGTTAACGATTGTAACAAAGATGAATGGTAGATACCTAAGGATACTTCCACTTAAGTTTCCTTCTTTTGTCTATTGCTGTAGAGAAGATTTATAAAAAAAATTTAAACATTTTTTTATTGATGCATACTTGTATTTATACCCCCTTGGAAGAATGCATGATTCTTGAATCTGATCATTTTGAATCCCTATTACCCAATGTTACTTTGTGGCAAAGAACTATATGCGGTATATTGCATACACTTGCACCCACAAAAGTCAAATTTTGAAAACTTCCTGAAATATGCTGAATTCAATAAATTGTATGAGAAATATAAATTAACAGAACATATTATAGTTTCAAAGCAGTTTATTCACAATTTTTGTTTTTATGACGTCACAAACTAGTCCGATTTTATATCCTTTTTCAGAAAGAGTACAAAATGGACAAAATTTCAACAATTTTAGCTTTAAAATTTATAGAGCGCATGTTTGTTCAGGAATAATATTTACATATTTCATTGATATTATTATTCTACACATTATATCAAAATATTTATCCTGAACACACATGCGCTCGGTGACTTTTACTCAAAATATCGACGAAATATGTACATTTTTCTGTAGAATTCATAAAAAACTGAAATTTACGTCATGTTTGTGACGTCATTGCGAACATATGACGTCATTACTTATGAAAATATTTAGTGCTTTGAAGTCAGCATATACTCCCCTGCGTAAGAACTTAATTAAATATACCTCCATCAAAGTTTGATTTGGGGGGCAAATATTGGTTATTACCGAATAAAGTTCTTTAGTTGAAATTCGCCCAGTGATTCTGGAGGAGATGGGGGAATGTGTTACAGTCGGACAAACAGACACTGAACAAAATGGGATCAGAAAAGTTATTTTCAGACTACAGACATGCCATTGAAGTGAATGATAGATTTCTGACCTTTCCAGCCGCTCCCGCCGCCTATTGAGGATATTGTACTGAGAAGGACAAGGAGGGATATGAAGGTCACGCCCCCCGGGACAGTCACCAGGACGTCACGATAGTACACCGTACAGTGGTGAGTCATGTGGGCAGCAGAACCATTCTCGCTACAAGAGACAAATGTCAATCTCAAGAAGTGATACATCATATGATTGGCAAAAATTAAATTGTGGCAATTTCTGTCTCATACATGAAAAAAAGATAAATCTGATGGGCAGTCATGAAGCTCCTGAATTAGTTTTATTTTCCTATGAAGAACAAAGGTGCTCCTTTATTGACCTGTTTTATATTCCTATGGTGCAGAATTATTAAAAATATTACATGAGAACACTTGGTTCGGCCTTAAATTAAAGACATCACATCTGTTTTATATTTGGATGTTTTACTAACTATAAACGATAAGGACTTGCTAATCAATTGTATGTCAAATAAAAAAAATCAGCTTTTCTTTAGTCAACACTTTCCTTATTTAGTAAAGGTAAAGGTCTAGATTTGAAGCTACAAGCATTATATCTGTATCTATAGAAAATATTTGAAATGTTAGTACATTTCACTTTTTATTGCGGTGACTATTTGCTGCTTTATTTCATACCAATTGTTGGGCACCTGGTGCAACCTATGGAAAATCCAGGACCCGTAATTTTGCTGTCTTCGAATATTTGTATTGTTTTTAGACTTTTTTGTTTGATTACTGTTTGTTATCTACAATTTTAAATGAACTTTAAAAAGTCTTAGGAGATTCAATTCAAGAATTCTCGATTCATCCTAATCTAAATATATATAATTATATTTTACTTAATTATTCTTCATTATGATCGTGCTGGCATACAGCACAGGTAGAAACAATTTTTTTTTTAGTTGGTGGAGTTAATATGATATAGTAAAAAATACGAACTTACCATGGGTTGTATCTTTGAATAAGAACAACAGCGATTCCATTAGCAAGTTTCTCCGTAAAACTCATTGCACCATACACAAATGCAGCACTGTTCTACAAATATTTTCATAGCCAAGTTTGGAGAAAAAAATCTAACTTGTTGTTTTTTTTTCTTTTAATTACCTATTAAAATCAGTCAAATAATATCTAGATATGTATTTCAAATTAGAGGGTGTTGGACATACAATGTACTTTGAGTAATACTTATGGACTTCTTCATCTTTTTAATTGATGACCTTTTATTTATAAGAATTTTAAAATACTTTAATATTTGTTGTTTTTCAGAATTAGTTATCTTACAGAATATCTGTCGATGAGATCAGAGGTCATTGCGAGTGACGTCACAAGAGCAGTTGACCCACCAACACCACTCAGAGCAGCGACACCGTAGACACGGCTAGATGTCGCCTCATCGATAAAAAAGATCCACACGCAGGCCCCAAGTGTACAAGATATACCCACTATGTAAGTTCTCTGTAATTGTAAGCCAAATATTAAAAAAACATATATTTATATTTATATCGTTTGAAAATGTATAAAAAGCTTTGGGCAAGGAGAGATAAATTTATTTGTTGAAAAGATACACTATGGAGAGTATAATTTCTTTAATGTAAACAAGGAATTAAAATATTAATGTAAAAAAATGGGAACCAAACCTTACGACCTAGTAACTTATTTGTATTGTTCATAAAAAGCGATGTACAGAATCCAGCAATATATCCAACCAGAGGAACAATTGCTACAGAATCCTGAAATTTCAAAACATCATCAGTTATTAGTTACCCAATATTAACATTGTCAGTTTCCATATAATCATTATCTATATCGTTATCTATATAAATAATTGCAAGTTGCGTATACAACAAAACTGCACCTCGGGAGGTAGACTTGTTTTGGGGGAACTGGAATCTTGCGGACTCCCTCAATGATATTCAATTACTGTGTATTAACATTTTTTCTTACCTTGTGCATATGCAAGGTCTCCGTTATGTACATGGGCATATATATCTGAGATATATTTACGGTTAAACGAGTACACATATATATCAAAGCCATCTGAAAGGTAAATGAAATCTAATGTTAATTAAATAAACGTATGATTTTATTATATGCCTTAAATGCTTTAATCGAAAGAATTTCTATAAATTTTTCATATTTTTATAAAAAGGAAAAGAAGTCTTGCCTGATAAAAACTGGGCTCTTTAAACCAGTCCTTCCAATGTTTGTGAAGTATCACTTTTTGTTTCGCTATATCAGCCTTTTCATGTTCATTTCTGCCTTCTTCTATGATGCTATGATCAGATACAAAAGATATTCTTTTCTTTGTAGTGTTTGGTTTGCATGTCTTTGATTTATCCTTTAGAATTCCAGGAATAGCAGTATTTTGACCGTGCGTGAGTTGGGACATTTCTATGTCAATCTCCGGGCTTGATATTGAGGAGATTGTTGCTATAACGTCCTTTTCGGGACAAGACATTGAAGATAAGTTTCTTTCGAGCTTGTCATGAGTCCTGCAAATACTCTGAGAAGAATGTGATTTAACTATACCTTTTAATTTTAATAAGGGAGCTTGTTTTTTATTTTCAGTAGAATTAGTCTCAAGTGCTTTACTTTTTTCTATTTTTTCTGCTGTGGTTTCCTTTAATTCATTTCCTTTGTCACTTTTTGCTTCTCTATCACTCTGCAATTTCTTTTCATAGCCAGTTCCAGGTAATGGGTTGTCCTTTTCGTGAACAAGCCAGTAGAATATACAACTGCATATCACTCCTACAACAACAACGCATATTGCCAGATCCTGCAATAAAATATAAGCCTCTTTAACTCATTTATGTGAAAATGGATTTATGGATAAAATGAGATTTATGTTAAAATGATTATCATTCGTTTTATAAAGGATCTATTTTTTACTCTATTTTTTTTCTAGAGATAACGTACGTTACTCATGACCATCACTATTAATCGGTAAAAAGATATACATGTCAGTACACATGCATGGATTTTTTGGCAGAAGCCTGGAAATATTAAATACAGAATACATGGCAGATAATTGGTCCATGTAAGGGTTTCAGTTCCGCTACTCTATCCATAAAGGACAGTAGGGGGTCAGAAACCCTTGTCTGGTGGCGATGTGTTACCCTAAATATGTATCCATCCTCCTCGTTTAGATAAGTGCTTGCTTCTTCTGATCTGTGTGCATCAAAAAACAACCAGGCCAGCAGGTAAACAAACATATGTGAAAGGACTGTTATAGCATACCTAAAACAAATCCATATTTTACGATTGCAATGCTTTCAGTTTTTGCTAAATCAATATGTTTATTTCGGTTATGATTAAAATTTTAAAATGCCTGAAAATTAAGTGTAAATAATATTTTAACCTCCATCCATTAAGCTGCACTTTTTCTATCGTACAAAGCGTCATTTCCGGGATAAGAGCTAAATGTCCAATTTGAGCACAGGCCCATCCAAATGAAAATATAACGACAAGTGGAACATAGTAAATAAATTGGGCCCAATCTGGAACTCCGCCACAGAACCAACAAGGTATGAAAATGAACGGAAACCCTAGACAACTACATATAGTTCCTGAAAGAAAAATCAACTACAATTCTAGGTAAGAAACTTGAGATAGTGTAAAGCTTATCAATATTCTTTATAAATGATTATAATAAAATCACCACAGTATATAGGTAATGAAACTATAAAATTTGTGCTTACCTATTAAATGCCAGGATTTTCTTCTACCGATTTTGCAGCATCCTGATTTGCTGTTGTCCGAGGCTAATCCAACCAGTGGAGTTAACACTGCGTCCACTGACTGTCCAATCATCATCAGCGCTCCAGCCAACGTGTCATCAAAATGTTTGACCTCATGAAAGTAGGCTATAAGGTAGGTATACCACATTGACGCCGTGAGGTCATTAAACGCGTGTCCAACACTATATCCGAGTTTTCGCTTAATAGGAATAGCATCTCCAGCCATTGTGATTATTCTTCTTCATTGATTTGAGAACTTAAACACATTGGTAGGTTGTGTTTTAAATTACTTTTTGAAACCACTCTTGCTAATCAAACTGTTACAGTTTTGTGACCGCTTGACTTAGAAAACGGCGGATTGAAGTGTTCATTATAAATGTGCTTCTGGGGGTAGTTTACATTGTAATAATTAATTATCAAAGGTTGTTCCTTTTGCTTAGGTTTTTGATACACGGTTAACTCATAACAAACAAGAATACTTCCCTATAATCAAATTTTATTTATAAACAATTTTAAAGGTAAAATGTCATGTTTATATTTTGTTGTTTAACGTGTACATTGATTATAAACTTTAAATGATTCTTTTCTTTTGTTGATAGTATAAACAAACTATTACCTATAATTGGCCTATGTGCACATAGAGTCATACATCTTATGTATATATACGTCATTACCCCCTCTTTGTAAAAATATGTATTCCCTGAAGCTACCTCTTCACTTCAAGCTGTATTTATGAATAAGAAAATTTATATGATAAGCTGAAAGGCGTGGGAGGATTTACAATGATTAAATCACATTGTAACATGTACCTTTCTTTTAAGTTCTGTTGTTTCTTAATCTCTACAAAGATAAACTGATTACTCGTGTGTAAATTAAGACCCCAATCAAAAGCAATGACATTTTTTCTGTATTTATAGAATCATTCCATTTATATACGTATCAATATTTTTGTTTACATAAAATACCCCATCGTAAAGAATATTTTGAGCTTTTTTTCATTTTTAATTATCATATTTCAAGCAACCCGGATTTGAGTTCCGTTCATTAACTTTAAAGTCCTATTCATCATTTGTAAAAACGACACGCATTCCCAGTAGATCAATCTGGAATAAAACTGCATGGACAGTACTTTTCATGAGAATAAAACAGCCATTTTTTTAATTTAGTAGAAAGAAAATTATTAATCATGCATCTGGTAATTATAACTTCTTACTGAATGATAAATTGGCTTTAATGATGTGTTAATTTGAACTATCTTTAAATATGCAAAATATTAGAAAATGGTCTCTTATTGGTTTAAAATATGTTTGTGTCATACAATATTATTATCAACAAGAAACATGTATCATATTACTAATTAGATTTCCTTAAAGTGTTAATTTATTATCATTTTTGTATCAATTAAAAAAAACTTTACATGTTCATATAAGGACAAGCTTAATTTTGCAGCAGCTTAAAACTTGTAATGAATACAATCAAAAATTGCAATTATAGCAAAAGTATTTTGTCAGACGTTGAAAACCTTTATTAGAAAATTTGAAAAATGATTTTTTTTTTATTTTTTAGACAAATTATATGCGTATATACATGTATATCATATTCTCGAGAAACATTTTATTTCAAATCAACACTTAGTCTGATTTCGTTGAGTCCAAAAACCATGCTTTGTAGAGAAATCATAGTAGAAGTACTCCGCTCCAGAAAAAAAGAGAATTCTTTGCGAATCAGTGTTCTCACATGCGTCCACAATATGAGGGCGATTGGTGTGGTTGGTGGATTTAAATGGATTTTTGGCGCTATTTGATTTCCAGTTTATGACCGTTGGTGGATTTTTGCTGACATCGTAAACGTTATCCCCAACGAATACATAAAACATATTGGTATCCTTAATGATACAATCAATGGTAGTTGATGATTGGTTAGTGAGATCAAGATTAAATGTAACATTTCTTCTCTCTTTCTTCTTAAATGTTGCTTGTTTTCCTTCTAGTACTGTTGAGACCGTATATATGTAAATTTCGGAGCCTGGGAAAAAGATAAGGATATTGAAATGGATGAAAAATAAATAAGGTGAAGCATGAAGTAAAATGTCAGATCCTTGCAAGAATTTTATTTTTTCAAAATAAGAATTCATTTTTTGTTTTGCGTGTTATTTTTTCTGAAGTGATGTTCTTCAAGTGCTAAATTTAGATGCAGTGCTCATATAAATATTCTGCTGTGTTATTGATAAATTCATTTAAATAATGATTTATTTTTTTATCGAATACACGTCACCTAATTATAGATTCAATAATAAAATTAAAGACGCAAATTAATATTGATAACCCATAAAATAATGGTTGTTTTACAGTATAATAAAACTTAACTATTCAGAGATTAATTTTAATCTGTAGTATCACATATAATTAATGAAATGCACGATTAAATAACATCTACTACTTTTGGAATATTAATTAGGATTTACCTTGAATCAGTGATATGGTGTCATTATCATCATAAGCAGCATCCAGTGTTCCTGATATTCCAGTAAATATGTCGCTAAATTGAAAAGTTTTTGTTGGTCCAGAATCCAGACTTTCATAGTCGTCATACAAAAATACCTTGTTACCTGAGAAGAGAATCAGTTTCCTGTTGTACAGAATGACGGATGCGTTCACATTACACGTGGACAGTGAGGGCACTGGTGTGGAGTTTGCCGAGGCATTTGAAAATGGAACACACAGTCGCGTGAAATTCGCCGTCTGAAATAAATATATAAATACATGTACCTCGTCCTACTGAAATTAGGGTTCATAGAAAGTATATTCAAATACTCTCTTAACTGTATATTATGAATTATTTTAAAATATGAAATATAGAAATAACAATCGAGTAATCAGCTCAAAAGTCCATTAAAATTATGAATCATTATTCATAATGATTTGATAAACAGAAATATCCGCAGTTAATTCAGCATGAAAATTGGTTTAACGATTTGTAGGAAAGACCTCTGTTAATATTCGACCTATAATGATTATATTTGTAAACAATTTTATTTATTATTTATATTTGCTAAATGTTGATGTTGACTGTTGTAGGTACTCTAATAGTGTCCTCTACAAAAATTTGATTTTTTAAATTAAAATTTAATTTAAAAAAATCAAATTTTTGTAGAGGATAATAGCATCAACCTGTTTGACTTTAACCTTCTTTTTTTTAAAATGTTAGTACAAAAAACATGTTCTTGAATTCGAATCAACTGTGAGACTTCTTCTATATACAGGTGATATATGTATATTCTACACAAATAAGGGAAGTTATGATAGAAAAAAATTGAAGTCATCACCTTTTATCATGAAAAAAATAAATAAAAGTGAAATAAAGCAAAAAACTTTCGAAAGTATTCACTCACCAGTATTTAACTTTTTCTCACATAAACGGGATAAATGATAGATATTTTAATAACACTGTATTCATTAATTCCATCTACACAATAGCATTCTCCTTTCCTGTGGCTAAATATGTCAGAATTGTTGTTGACGCATATAGTTGCACAATGCAAACGACTCCGACTAGGAAAATACACCTCTTTTGTGAACAGACAATTCGAATTTAATTTACGAAAATACGTTAAGTTTGCCTTTGCAACAAGTACGACAAACGTTAAAACAATTGAAAATCTGGCCAGTGATGGTAGAAACATATCTGCTTCATCCAATCTATGATGAATGTATTTAAATACGAGGTTTTTTGTGTTTTATTTTATTTGTGTTTGTACTTAACGAAGTAGAAAACATCGTGTATGTCATCAATCGAATTTCAATTTACTCTGCACGATTCAAATAGAAGCCTCAAACTAGTTAAACACATTTAAAGAGAACAAACTATTAGCACTGAATTCTAATTGAGTGCGGTGAAGGGTGCTCAATCACTTGCAGTGCTGAATAATAATGAAAAACAAGATTAATCCAATAAAATGCGATGCTTTTTCTATTTTCTCAGGGTTCCTTACAGGATAAATGCTGGACTGATATTGATAATTTAATATTAATCTCATTTTGTTTGTCTCCTCTAAATTAATACAAAATAATAAAAAATTAACACAAAAGACCACAACTTTGGGATCTTCATGATAAAACACCTAGCTGTAAACAACGTGATCGATTCGAAAAACTACTAGCAGTCATTGAGACAACAATTTGAGTTGTTTTCTCTCTCTCTCAGAGTGTGTCTGTGAGTGGATTGTGGCTCTTTAAGATCGCTTTTCATGGTTAAAGAATTAATGAAAAAACGTTAACACATGAAATGTCTAAATAATTTACAATTTATGTATAACATACAAATTTTGACAACTAAATGAAGAATGAATGGCGATCTTCAATTTATGCAAAGCGTCCATAAGCTACTATCATCAAGTTGGTCGAAATTGTATTTTGTTGATAAAACCGAATTATCGCAAAGTAGCTTATAAAATAATATTTATAAAAAAGGGAAGGAGAAAGAAGCCTCATTATCAATTAATGTGAATTTTCCTTTTGCCAGAAATATTATCTTCATAAGGAAATGAAATATAAAACTGTTACATTTAATTGCATGCACATGAAGTTAGAGTATGATTTAAAACCGGAAAGGGTTAAGCTTTAAATAGACTATATAAGTATCAATGTTTACGTTGACAGGAATTTGACAGAGACAGCTACATTAAAGTTAATTAAATCACAGAGATAGATTTGTCTTAATTAGAAGGAATACTAGTAACTGTTTTGTACGCTCGAACACTTCTACTGTATACATATACCATGAATAACTTTTCAATATACAGAAAAAATAGTTCAAAGAAAAAAATACAAAGGGTAAAAATCTACTAAACTTTGTAAAATTAAGCACAATATTTCAGAAATCTGAATACTACATGTAAAAGACGCTGCTTAGTTCATTTTATTAAGAAATAAGGTATCATTTGAAAACATCTATCGGGATATAAATACGGGTTGGTCAAGAGATTAAATTCCATATATAAAGCCCAAAGACATCCCAAAATATGAATTCAGTGCTTAAATGTAAATATTTCACATTGTTCTCAGCAATCTTTGCAGAAAGTTTGCCGCAAACTTACAACAAATTAATATGAATGGTAACATTTGCACTGTGCTTGCTGCAAACCATCGTCGGAAATCCACGGGTGATCTCGTCTTTACTTATCACCCGTGGGTTTCCGACGATGGCTGCAAACTTGCTGGAAACATAATTTTTTTCGTAGACTGGCATAGTTTATTTAGTTTCATCGCAGTAAGTTTGCTGCAATGTCTGCAGCAGACGTGCAGCAAATGTTTCACTGAAGGAATTTGAGGCAATATCTAATATAAGGAAGCTGCAAGAAGCCATATGAAAATAATTAATTGATAAAACATTATCGGTTAGATAAAAATGAAAGATAAGATAATTTAAATAACAGGATACAGCGAGGCTCGAGAAATTTTTCTTTTTAGGTCACCTGAGTAACTCAGGTGACCTATTGCTATCCGTTTTCGTCCGTCGTCGTCCGTCGTGTGTCGTGTGTTAACATTTGAACATTTTCAGCTTCTTCTCTGAAACCACTAAACCAATTTCAACCAAATTTGGTATACAGCATCTATGGGTGGAGGGGAACAAAAATTGTGAATTTCATGGTCCCCGCCCCTCTGGGGCCTGAGGGGTGGGGCCAAAACCACTAAAATTAATGAAATCTTTAAAAATCTTCTTCTTTACTCCTGGACATCAAGCAGGCAAACTATTAGCATGAATGTAATGAGCATTGAGTCCTCTACCAAAATTGTGAAATTCATGGCCCCAGGGTCAGGGGTTCTAGTGCTAGGGCGGGGCTCTATAGATTATATAGTGAAAATGCATTATTTCTTTGAAAATCTTCTTCTCTGCTCCTGGGTATTAAATACACTAACTAAGCACATAGTTATGATGAGCAAGAGTGCCTCTTCCAGATTTGTGAATTTCATGGCCCCAGGGTCAGGGGTTCTGGTGTTAGGGCCCGGCTCTATAGATTATATAGTGGAAATGCATTATTTCTTTGAAAATCTTCTTCTCTGCTCCTGGGTATTTAATAAACAAATTAAGCACATAGTAATGATGAGCAAGAGTGCCTCTTCCAGATTTTTGAATTTTATGGCCCCAGGGTCAGGGGTTCTGGTGTTAGGGCCCGGCTCTATAGATTATATACTGAAAATGCATTATTTCTTAGAAAATCTTCTTCTCTGCTCCTGGGTATTAAGTGAACGTCTCAGAGAAAACCATGCAAAACATTCCACAAGCAAGGTTTATGTATTGATATCAATTTTTGTGTGCAATATAGTATTGATATACCATTAAAATTGCCACATATATTTTTTTCATTGTTGCCCTAGTTCACGAGTTAGAGGCATGTTACTAAAAATAGAACTTATAGTCAAATTAGGAGCTAAAAACCATGGAATCTAGACATATTTGAGGAAGTCTCAACAAATTATGACATTTCATGCACTGAAACTAATTGGTAGGCATAAAAGTATGTTGCCTAGAGTATCATTCGGGATAGTAAAATTTATTCAGTACTTATCCAGTTTAAGTGCAAAAAGGTCACAAATCGTCCAAAGTTCACATTTCCAAAAAAATCCAATTTTTATGAACTTTCAAGTGACTTTTAGAGGGCCCGTAAACGCTGCAATATGTTTTATTGTAATTTCACCTTGAAGTACAGACCATAATTAGGAAAATATAAAAAATCTATCTTTGGACTCTTTCAAGTAGGGTAGATATGAGGTCACGAACAATGCTATATTTTGACATATTGCAAAAATTATGGTTTTACAGGGAAAAGTTTTAGTTTGTGGTACTTATAAACATTTTAAGTAAAAATGCAATTTTGTGTGCAATATAGTGTTAACCATTAAATTTGCCACACATTTTTTTTCATCGTTGCCTTAGTTCACAAGTTACATGTAGAGGCATGTTACTAAAAATAGAACTTGTAGTAAAAACATGAGCTAAAAACCATGGAATCTAGACATATTTGAGGAAGTCTCAACAAATTATGACATTTCATGCACTGAAACTAATTGGTAGGCATAAAAGTATGTTGCCTAGAGTATCATTCAGAATAGTAAAATTTATTCAGTACTTATCCAGTTTAAGTGCAAAAAGGTCACAAATCAGCCAAATTTAACATTTCCAAAAAAATCCAGTTTTTATGAACTTTCAAGTGACTTTTAAAGGGCCCGTAAATGCTGCAATTTGTTTTATTGTAATTTCACCTTGAAGTACAGACCATAATTAGGAAAATATAAAAAGATATGAGGTCACGAACAATGCTATATTTTGACATATTGCAAAAATTATGGTTTTAAAAGGAAAAGTTTTGTTTGTCGTATTAATAAATATTTTTAATAAAAATGCAAAATGTAAAAACATTGACATTTTTTTTTTGTCATTTACAAACATTAAAATACACACTGGTGTACAAATAAACATTAGTGGACAAAAACAGAGAAAATTATGTAAATGTTGCCATGGAAATATCGTTTTTTTTTTTTTTCAATTTTTCGGACATATTCAGGCAACCTAGGCATTGAAAACTATGAGAACTTCAGATCGTTACATTTGCTAAGACACCTATGAATATATATCTCTGATTTTAAATTCTCTGCAAAGCTTCATTTAGTTTTTCTGCTTCATTTAGTTTTTCTGCTTCATTTAGTTTTCCTTTTGGTGTTTTGTTCTGTTCATACAGTGACAGTCCTGAGAAGAAGGTATGAGACACAGGAACCTGTAGGTGAATAGAAAAAATAATTAATTCATCACTATTAAGCCAACTAGCTAAAAACACATTAGACAAAATTTGTAAATGCTACAAAGGATGCTTTCAAAGTCATAAGTCTTATTTGTTTTAATATTCTTGTCAAAATTTTAAGATGTAACCCCATCCTAACCCTTGGGGTCATGATTTTGAACAAACTATTGGAGTGAAGTATGAGTCACATTTGATCTAGGGGAGAATAGATTAGCTCCGGACAAGAATTTTTCATACAATTCTGCTATGACTTTGACCTTAGAACTAGAAATGTGGTTTAAGGTCATTGCACACCCTCTTTAGAAAGACACTGTGGGTGAGGTATGAGCCAGATTGGGTCAAGGAGAGCAAAATATGCTCTGAACAAGGATTTTTCATACAATTTTGCTATTACCTTGACCTTACATTCAGAAAAATGGTTCAAGGTCACTGCACACCCTTTACCCAAAGGTACTCTGTGAGTGAAGTATGAGCGAGAGTGGGCCAAGGTGACAGAAGATATGATCTGGGATGGACAGACGAATGGACAGACTGATCACTATAGAGTGCCCACAGAGGGGGGGAGGGGGGCTAATTAATTGAAGTAATATAGTTTATTTAAAAAAATACTAAGTATATACTCAATAAGCTTAAATTTAAGTGATTTCTGACAGTAGCAAATACTTACAGGATACGTCAAACTCCTTGTCTGTAGTTAAACTCTCTGTGAAAGTGTTTTGTGAACTTGGAACACCTAAATTTATTAAATTGATATGATTTAATAAACATATGAATACAGTATATTGATAGAAAAAGTTTATAAATTCTATACATTTTATTTTTTTGCAATCAGATATCTCTTACAAAGTCATGGTCTATTTGTTCACACCATTCTGAAAGTAAAATAATGTGATCTTCTGAAGATGTACTTCTTTTTTTAGGCCTGAAGGATGCAATTTCATTTTCTGGGGGTGGAGGGGCATGGCCAAACTTTTTCAGGTTTTTTTTTTTCAAGTGGGGTGGGGTGAGGGGTGGAGGGGCACTATCAACAGACAACTACCAAAGATTTCTTGAAAAGCAGAAAAAATCTCAGACATTTTTATTCATAGGTCAAAAGTATATATAGTAGCTTATTTTTCTATAGTATTCTTTATATTGGGAAATTTATTTCCCAATAAGTAACCCATCCACCCCACCCACTTTATACGACAATGCACTTTGAATCTGAAAATTGCTTCCATGTATCCCTATGCAATATGCACTTAATAGTTAATGAATACTTAGCAAAATATAATAATTACCAAGTTCTTCCACAAACTGCACATTGTCAGAAGGAGAAACAATCTTCTTATTCTGAATATGCTCCACTGAGCACCTCTTGCATATTGCTGCAAGACAAAAACATTAAATTGTAATAAATACTGCACATTATGTAATACTTAGAAAGCACAAATACACTCTAAGATAACTTATTTAAGGCACATACACATCATTACGTTTAAATAAATATTATAAATAGTGATCAAAAGTTGTACATTGTTTTTAGATGATATATTATTTTATTATATAGCTTTAAAAATTAATGCCTTAATTTAAATTATAAAGATTTCCAATAATGGGCCTTTCATTTACAAAAATTATAGTTTTTGTAATTTTCAAATACATTGTTACAGTAGATTCCTAACAGACCATGTAAATTTTTTTACTAGCATGCAGTGACCTGTTTGCAAAATCACTGTCATTTTCTCAAATTACTCCATGAATATGCTCTTTAAACTTAAATTTATATTTATTTTTCTGGAATAAATATCTCGTTTATAGTATAGTTCAATGCACCTTTTTAATAATCAATTTATTGAAAAATGGATTACTAGGTTCATAATTACTATAACCAACCTGATCCTAGTGGTATAATATTGGCTTGTATTTAACCAGAGTTGTTTACACATTGCTGGACTGACTCAGTGACTCCTCTGTCGGCTTTCATTTTTCCCTGATGGCAAGGATAGGAACCGGTTCTCTGGGTCTTTTCCATCGTGTCCCAACTCTTCACGGTGCTTTACACACATTTTCATTGAAAGAATGTTTTTATCATCCGTGAAATACCCACTTCGATATAACATTGATATATACTCAGGACATATGTATGCAGCTTAAACATGCTAGTCTATTTCTTCTCCACTTTGCAGAGAATGTAGATGGTTCAATATATCACATTCATAAATATAAAAAGTGTTTGCAAAATTACAATCAGATTCTCCATCATGAAAGTCACACACAGCAGGAAATAATTTTCATTTTGGTTGGTAGTGATTGTAAATGAACATCCATTTTCTATTTATAAATCTATCAAATCATTCAGAAAAATGTTGGAAGTCATTTTGATTTAAAAGATCAGACCACATAGTGCAAAAACGTTGCATTAGGCTCATTCTGAAAAATCATGTTTTGACCTCCATTGGACTTCCCTTCTCTTTTCTACCTCCTCTGCCTGGAGAGCATTAAAGGGGAGGTAAATCTTATAAATTGTTTTTCACAGATACAAAATTTATTTACAGGATTTAAACAAGGAAGATATTGATTTAAGAAGTAGTTATTACAAGAAAATATTTTTTAAAAATTATTTCAAAATTTCCAAAACGTTTTATGGCCTAAATGTCTAAAATATAAATAAATTCAAGAATGAACTAGAATATGCTTATTCCATAAATGTATGGATCAATATTAATCATTTGTGCTGTAAACTTTGAGAGTCCAAAGATGGATTTTTTTCCAGAATTGATTAAGGTCTTCTACTTTTATATTCTTGGGAGAAGGAGAAAATTCAAGTGTTTACGGGTATATTTATACCTTATTCAAATTTGGCATTTTCTGAGGCATATAGCAAATGTATAGATATACCAGTATTCTAAATTCTGCCTAACCTTTATAAAAGCAGTACTGTCAAAGCAACTATGTTTTATTGAAAAAATAAGACGTGGATAACTTAAATATAAATTCAAAGTTTGTATGAATTGTTCAATTTTTTCATATTTTGGTACTCAAAATGTATCATTTTTGGTATTTTTTCCACAATTTCCAAAGGTTATTTGGGCCAATATATAAAGTAGGTCAAAGCTAAAAATAGAACAACATTGAAGGGCAATCGAATTCAAATTAGGACTTTCATGGGATGTTCTTCCAGTTTTATATCAGTTTTAAAATATTTGAGATGTAAGCTTGTGGACCATTTTTGCCATTTTGCATGGTTTTCTCTGAGACGCTCACTTAAATACACTAACTAAGCACATAGTTATGATGAGCAAGAGTGCCTCTTCCAAAATTGTGAATTTTATGGCCCCAGGGTCAGGGGTTCTGGTGTTAGGGCGGGGCTCTATAGATTATATAGTAAAAATGCATTATTTCTTTGAAAATCTTCTTCTCTGCTCCTGGGTATTAGATACACTAAATAAGCACATAGTTATGATGAGCAAGAGTGCCTCTTCCAAAATTGTGAATTTTATGGCCCCAGGGTCAGGGGTTCTGGTGTTAGGGCCCGGCTTTATAGATAATATAGTAAAAATGCATTAGATACACTAACTAAGCAAATAGTTATGATGAGCAAGAGTGCCTCTTCCAAAATTGTGAATTTTATGGCCCCAGGGTCAGGGGTTCTGGTGTTAGGGCCCGGCTCTATAGATAATATAGTAAAAATGCATTATTTCTTTGAAAATCTTCTTCTCTGCTCCTGGGTATTAGATACACTAACTAAGCACATAGTTATGATGAGCAAGAGTGCCTCTTCCAAAATTGTGAATTTTATGGCCCCAGGGTCAGGGGTTCTGGTGTTAGGGCGGGGCTCTATAGATAATATAGTGAAAATGCATTATTTCTTTGAAAATCTTCTTCTCTGCTCCTGGGTATTAAATACACTAAATAAGCAAATAGTTATGATGAGCAAGAGTGCCTCTTCCAAAATTGTGAATTTTATGGCCCCAGGGTCAGGGGTTCTGGTGTTAGGGCGGGGCTCTATAAATTGTATAGTGAAAATGCATTATTTCTTAGAAAATCTTCTTCTCTGCCCCTGGGTATTAAATACACTAAATAAGCACATAGTTATGATGAGCAAGAGTGCCTCTTCCAAAATTGTGAATTTTATGGCCCCAGGGTCAGGGGTTCTGGTGTTAGGGCGGGGCTCTATAGATTATATAGTGAAAACGCATTATTTCTTAGAAAATCTTCTTCTCTGCTCCTGGGTATTAGATTAACTAACTAAGCACATAGTTATGATGAGCAAGAGTGCCTCTTCCAAAATTGTGAATTTTATGGCCCCAGGGTCAGGGGTTCTGGTGTTAAGTCGGGGCTCTATTGATTATATAGTAAAAATACATTTATTCTTTGTAAATATTTTTCTTTGCTTTTGGGTTTTAAGCCAATGATCCAATTATATATATATTTATGCTGAAGAAAGGTGCATCTAGAAAAGTGGTTATTAATGCCCCCAGGGTCAAAGAGGGGGGGGGGGGTGGTTACCTAGCCTGAAAATAAATTAATGCTTTGAAATCTGCTCTTTGGTATTAATCAACCATTTTATGATAAAATTTGCAAAATTTTGAAATATATGGCCCTGGGTCAGTGGTTCCTTTGGGGTGAGGTGCACAACTGGTTATAAAGTGGAAGTGCATTTTCTCTTTGTTACTCTGATCTACCTCTGGGTATTAAGTAAATAGAGTAAGCATGCTAAGTTAATAATTATGATATGCAATGGTGCCTCTTTCAAAATTGTAAATTGTGAATTTCATGGCCTCCGGTTTAAACACGAACCAAATTTAATTGTTTGAAAGTTGTTACACAATACTCAGGTGACCTATAAGGCCCTTGGGCCTCTTGTCTAACAAATCGTTTATAATAACAATTTAAGTTATATTCATTAGTATGGATGTATGGCGACTCGATATATCCAAATGAACTTGAATTAAAATATACCACGGAGTCTGTCACATCTGTTTCATATTTAGATATCTTAAACGACTCTAGACGATAACAACTAAATTGAATAAAAAAAGAGATTCAGTTCAGCCTTTCCATCCACAACGTTCCCTGTTTATTAAGGAATATTCCGCTATCACCTCAACTTATTCGCTACTCACGAGCTTGGTATGAGTACAAACAAGTTTTAAGTGAGGCATGCTAATCACTTAAAAATTGATGTTACAGGGGTTTTCAACAACCTTCATTCAAAATCAGCATTTTGAATACCTGATGGTCGTTATATAATGACCTTGTTAGCAAATATAACCTATCATTGGATCGCATTTTGACTAATTTGTTTTATACAAACTATCACAGGCCTTTGTTTTTGTACTCATCAATTAAGCATAAAATAGCTATCAGTGTTATGCATTCCTATTACATGAGTTTAATATTAAATGCAAAAAGAATAATAATTCTGAAAATAGAATTTTTTCCAGGAGTAGTAAACTTTTGAATCATGAGTTTCCGTGTAAAATCCTCGCTAATTTCAGTATGTGGCCACGCATGTTCTATCTTTGGGATATATTAGGTACATAGATGCTTGAAATAAACAAATTCATTATTGCTAAGAAATAAATAAAAACGCTAAATTAAAAAAAAAGGTGAAAAAACAACAAATAACGTTTCAACTACTTTGCTTAAATGTTATGAGTATTGAGAGTGTAAAAAACTGTTTGGCCAGGTAAGAAAAAAAAAACATATACCGGTAATGCAACTTTTTCAAGTACTAAGCAATTATTATCTCAAACTGAAAACACATGAAACAGTTTATAAATTGATATTTTAAATTAGGAAATGCAGTTTTGCATTAAAGTTTAATGTTTTATAAGGAAACGTCTTAATTATGTGGTTTGGAGGCTGCATTGAGGTCAACTTTAAATAGATAATATAATTATATATCGTACGACATATTATCATACTTCACTCCAGTCCAGAACAAAAATAAATTTTATATAATACAGGTGAAAGGTCACGATTGAAAACTAATTTCGCTTTTTTGAATGGCTCACACGTTTTTAAAAGTTATTTTCAAACAGTTAATCTATATTTACTCATTGTGACTGTTTCTATGACGTCTTCAAAGAGTATAAATATGACTTTGGGGACGCTGAAAAAGCAGGTTCCAACGAAGATCCCCAATCAACAGGTAGGATAGCATTAATATATTAAAAATATTATATCTTTCAAAGAAATTCTTTGCTTTTGATATATAGGAAAAATCAAACCATGGAAAATAAATGACACATCAGATTTGTTTAATTTTCAATAAGAGATTCTTTAATTTGGCTGATGTTGAAATCAACCCTTATAAATCAACTTGATAGATATTCTCAATATATTAAGAAAATGAAAAATAGTTTGAATTATGTACCCAACATTCCAATATCATAAACAATATTCTTTTCGCAAAAGCAAAAACTGGTTGACAATTTAAAATGTTTATTTCGGGATTATGTTAAAAGAATCTATAATTGGTAATATTGAGCATGGAAAATATTTCATTTTTAAACCTGTTTAAACCATACTTCTGGCTGAATTCACTTATAAATTTATTCAAAAAATGTCCCTATTTACTAAATAGTAATATAGACACATAAGGCAATTGATTAAAGACTTCAGAAATGTTACAGAAGTATAAAAGTGTTAAATTGTAGAAAAAAAATTAACTTGTATTATTATTTAGTAGCCTTCAAAATCTATGAATGTCGCATAGAAAAGAATCACAACAAGCAAATAAACGTAAAATCCTGTAAATTCACCAATCACTACCTGTCCAATTCACTCTTATTGTAAATTTCTGTCGAGAAAAAAAGTTTTATTTTGTATATTTCCAATATATTCGAAATAACTGAAGTTAAAAAGAAAATTTTTCGAGTAGCAAATAGACCATTTTGAAATTATTTGTGGAATAATTTCAAAATGATTGAAACAAAAATCCAATTTCTGTATTCTTTTGAAATTATTATTTACAGCCATGTTCCGTGCAGCATTCCTTCTAGCTTTTCTGTCCCATGTTCTGGCTGATTACGAGTTCGGAGGCTGCAATGGATACGGGTGTACTTACGGAAAAACACAAAGGGGGCCTGGAGGAGTAGGTAGCACAGTGGTCTCCACTGGAGGTTCCGGCTCATTAAACTACGGTCTCGGTTTACCTAATGTTCCCTTTTTTGGAATTGGACCTTCGTCTGCTTCATCAGGGTCAGCTGCATCTGGACTAGGTGGCGCTGCTTCATCTAGTGCTGCTGCTTCCGGTGGACCTTTTGGTGGAGCTGCAGCTTCTTCCGCTGCTGCTGTAGGATCTTCCCAGCCTGGATTCCAATACCAATTGGATCCCAGTTTTGTTGGCACTGGATTCCAAGGATTTCAGAGTTTCCAACAGTTTGGAATTGGTGGCAGTGCTGCTGCCGGAGCTGCGGCCTCTGGTGATGATGGAGCTGCTGCTGCTTCTGCTGCCGCCGCAAATGGTGCTGGGTCAGCTGCTGCTAGTGCCGCTGCTGTGGGTAGCCCATTTGGGTTCCCAGGACGTTTTGCTCCGGCTCAAGTTGGATTCCCTACATTCCAACCAAGATTACCCTCACTCCTACCAGGAATCCCCACTAGGCCATTTCCCAGATATCCACCAGGTGTCGGCTATCCCAGAGTACCCGTACCTGGTCGATATCCATTCCGATACCCTGCCCGAAAACCATTTGTTAACAAGAAAAAGGTAAGCTGTCTTCATGTACATGTTTAATCATGTTAATGACATACAACATTATTTTTTAAGATATCATTTTACGGAATGAAAGAATGTTTTTTTTCTTTTTAGGTAAATATATATTAAGAAAAAACCCCCGACTGTCTCATATTGATTGGAACCGCAAACAGTATTTTTGTGAATAAATTGTTAATCTAGCATATTTTTGTTTTATGTTATTTAATATTTGTTACTTAACATTTATCTGTATTACTTAAACATTTATCTGTATTAAGTTAACACTTTATTAAATTTATATTTGAACTTATTTTGGTGCAAGCATTGTGGCAACGCACTTTGAAAAAAATGTTTCAAAGTGCGTTAAAATTGGGACAAAATCAACGCACTTTGAAATTTTTTTCAAATTTTTTTCATAGTGCGTTACTCGAGAGGGACGTTAAACAATATACAATCAATCAATCAAATTGCGTTAAATTTGGGACATACTCAACGCACTTTGAAATTTTTTCAAAGTGCGTAAAGAGATTTCATCAATATATTTTACCAAGGAGACATTTAACGCACTTTGAAAAAATATGTAAAAACTTCTGGATTTAGATTATAAAGTAATGGGAAAATTTTATTTCAGTGTTATTTATCTTTCAAAAAACTTATGAATTGATTTACTCCCGTCGAGAAGAGGAGAAGATAATAAACCCAAAAAAGGGTAAGCCGCATTTTCAATACCTATTTGTTGTATATCTTACCAAAATAAGTGGGGGGCTAAGCCCCCCTCCCTTGTCCTTCGCCCGGTTTCGATGGTTATGCTATACCCAAAACATAGATACGTATTTTCATAACTGGTATGATGTTGAAAACTTTCAATAAATGAGTTAACTTAAAACAAATGTTTCAGTAAAACGTATTAGAGAAAAGGAATTTTCATAGTTTTGAAAAATCAAATTGCCCCCTTTTTCTTAAGGTAAATGCTATGCTTTAAGTCGTTCACTTTTAACCCCACTCTACATATTACAGACTAGAATTTTAAACAAGAGGCCCACGGGCCTTATAGGTCACCTGAGTATCGTGTGACAACTTTCAAACAAATAACTTTGGTTCGTGTTTTAAACAAAAGGCCATGAAATTTACAATTCATAATTTTGAAAGAGGCACCATTGCTTATCATAATTATAAACTTAGCATGCTTACTCTATTAATTAATACCCAGAGGTTGATCAGAGTAACAAAGAGAAAATGCACTTCCACTTTATAACCAGTTTTGCACCTCACCCCAAAGGAACCACGGACCCTTGGGCCATATATTTCAAAATTTTGCAAATTTTATCATAAAATGGTTGATTAATACCAAAGAGCAGATTTCAAAGCATTAATTTATTTTCAGACTATGTAACCCCCCGCCCCGACCCAGGGATGGGAGGGCATAAAAAATAACCATTTTGCTAGGTGCACCTTTCTTCATCATAAATATATATACTTGGATCATTGGCATAAAACTCAGGAGCAAAGGAAAAAATTTTCAAAGAATTAATGTATTTTCACTATATAATCTATATAGCCTCTCCCTAGCACTAGAACCCCTGATCCTGGGGCCATAAAATTCACAATTTTGAAAGAGGCACTCTTGCTCATCATAACTATGTGCTTAGTTAGTTTACTTCATACCCAGAAGCGGAGAAGAAGATTTTCAAAGAATAAATGCATTTTCACTATATAATCAATAGAGTCCCACCCTAACACCAGAACCCCTGGCCCTGGGGCCATAAAATTCACAATTTTGAAAGAGACAGTCTTGCTCATCATAACTATGTGCTTAGTTGGTTAATTTAATACCCTGAAGCGGAGAAGATTTTCAAGAATAAATGCATTTTCACTATAAAATCAATAGAGCCCCGCCCTTGGTGGCGAATTGTAAAGTGTATTACTAAATTTTCTAAAAAACAAACTAAACCCCCACCAATAAAATCTAATGGTAGAATTTATATACACCCTATTGATAAAGCTAATATAATTAATAAACACTTTGCAGAAATATCACATATTGATGACAGCACAGAATCCAAACTACCCCCTCAAGGGCCAGGTCCACCATATTCAATAAACACAATTCACATTACACCCCAAGAAGTGGAGGATCAATTACATAATATCAACCCATCTAAACCCCCAAGACCAGATGATATTTCTCCACATATACTGAAAAATATAATTCCGTCCATCACTGCACCCCTAGCAAAATTGTTTAATGCATCATAAACCAGCAAACAGCTTCCATATATATGGAAACTATCAAATATTACACCAGTTTGTAAAAATAAAGGTAGTCCTGAAGAGCGACGCAAAAAAACAATGCCCCGTGACGTATTTTATATAACAAAATTCGACAAAATAGGACGTAAACAACAAACAAAATGTATGGATTGCATTAGAATGGGAATAACTGATCTTCTAATTTGGTATTTGCGACCGTTAATGCTGATTTAACGGTCGCAAACATCCGTTTTACTTACGCGTCGCCGGTAAAACTCAGTTTGCGACCATTAAATCAGCATTAACGGATTAACGCATTTTTTTAATTTGCATTATTGATTTAACCTCATTGCGAACAAGGAGTAGACGAGTAGAAGATCTCTCAGCCCAACTCTTTTTTTTTTCTTAGTCGTCGGTAGCAAATTGAACGTGGACCCCCGCCCCCAAGGTAAGCCCCAATTTCCAATGCCTATATTACGTATATCTTTGCAAAACATTTGTGTGCCTTAGACCCCCCCCCCCGGTACCGATGCCTATGCTACACCCAAATATATGTACATGTATTTGCATAACTGGTATGACGTTGCAAACTTTAAATTTTAGTTTTCAGAAAATGTATACAAACTGGAAAAAATTAAGTACAGTAAAACATTTAAGAGAGAAAGAATTTTCAAAGAATGGAAAAACCAAAATCGCTCACTTTCACGTCCTTAAGTGGCCTTATTACCGAAAAGTTATCCAACAGGTTCAATTTTTCACAATTTTTCAAAGTGCGTTAATATGGTCGATACGAAAGCCTATTAGGATCACTCTAAAGAGAAAAAAAAATTTTAAAAGGCGTTATAACCCCTTTTGAAAAGGCGTAATAACGCGAAAAAGGCGTTATATCGCCTTTCTAAAAGGCTTTATTACGCCTTTCCATTCAAAAAGGCGTTATAACGCCTTTCCAAAAGGCGTTAAATATTACGCCTTTCTAAAAGGCGTTATTATGCCTTTCCAAAAGGCTTAATAACGCCTTTCCAAAAGGTGTTATTACGCCTTTCTAAAAGGCGTTATTACGCCTTTCCAAAAGGCGTTATTACACCGTTTAAAAGGCGTTATAACGCCTTTCTAAAAGGCGTTATTATGCCATTCTAAGAGGCGTTATTATGCCTTTCCAAAAGGGTTATTACGCTTATTTAATAACTATTATTTTGCATCTAACAGGCCTGTGCTTCTAACCCCACCCTCATTCTACTGGCCAAACTTCTGGGTGACTTCTCGGTAAAACTTTGTTTAAATGCAATAATTTGCCACAGTTTTACACATTGCAACAAAACCAAGCAACCAACAGTTAACTATAATATTTAAACTGTAGCAAGACTTTTCCCCAAAAAGTGTGGAGGGGGGGGGGGGGTACCCCATTTGCACTCGTATTACTGGCCTACTTGAAAAGGAAAATGGAAAGGCGTTATTTTTATGTTAATAAATTTATGAAAGATTTGATTAAAACAATCTTTATTTAAGCAATTCCCTATATTCCTGGACATCTCACTGACAACTGTTTACATTCGTATTAAGAGAAGGCAACACTCTACTTGTGAAGATAAGATATACTAGTAGGCAGATGTATCTTAGAGCTTTGCTTGCCATGTATTAAAATTCATGTCATTTGAAGATATTTTTCTCTCTTCCTGGAAAAAAGCAGGCAGACTATTTGCTATCTGTTTAAATTATTTTTTGAGAAATTAGTCCTATATCATATTGTGAAATTCATGTCCCAAAGGTAAGATTTCTGCAACCCCCCCCCCCCCACTCGCTTGGGCTAATATGTTTAGTCATATATATATATTGAAAATAAAAGACGTAATAACGCCTTTTTAGAAAGGCGTAATAACGCCTTTTAAAAAGGCATAATAACGCCTTTTGGAAAGGCGTAATAACGCCTTTTATAAAGGCGTAATAACGCCTTATATTTACATTTGCAAATGTTTTCCTTTATATATCACTACTGAAAGCAAACGTATTTATAACTGTATATTTACATTCAGTGTGATTTTCTTTATGAAATTCATTAGAAATCCACGACGTTCAAATTTCTATAATTCCAATCTTAATTTTATTTATCGATTCCCTGTGTTCTGATTGGACGAAAACAAATTCAAGAAAAAGTTTACACATCGATGAATTCTTCAACAATCAGAACTACTTTCTTGACTGTTGTAAAAACAATGAAAACAGATACTTCTAGTCCGTTTTAGCTACAAGAAACTTGAAATAAAAAATAAATGAATGATCGAATGAATAAAAAAGGACTGACAGACGGGAATATTATGTTTATGTCACTGTCGCATCACGAGTGTGAATTTTAAAAACTCGCTGATCATGCTGTCATTTTCTCGACGTTCCATATCAGCTCAGTTGGTATCGTTGTGATAGGGAAAAGAAACGTACCTCAGACTCTTGCCTTTCTGGCATCAAATTCATATGTTTACATCCTACAGATCCCATATTCTCCCTAAATCTTTGAACGAACCAGAGCAAATCGAGGACGTCGTCGGTCTTCAACTTTCGTCATGACGTCAACATGGCCATGGTCAAGGACGAATTATTCTGGAGAATACGCGTATTTACGATATTTGTTGACTAAAACAACATTCAATGAATTTTTATAAGTTTATTTATTGATTGTTTTGACAATTTAAGTTGGATTTTATCGATATTCATCTTGTACACGTTTCTTTGTGGCATCGGTGGCATTAAAGTATTCCTACGCCGTACAAAATAACGGATTGTATGGCGGCCTCAAAGGGAAATAATTTTAATAATTTAAAAACTTCGTAATTGGAATTATAAGAATTAAACGTTCTTTTTTTCAGAATTTATCGATGTGTAAACTCTGCCTTTTTACTCACAAACTTTACATAAAAGTGCTTCGCACTTTTATTCAGTTTGTGAGCAAAAAGGCAGAGTTTA